CTCTGATAAAATGTATAGGTTTGAATTTTTCTCACCTTGCATTCCTAAGGAAGCATTTATAAAACCTGCTATTCCTCAGGACTATCCACTGTCAAGAAAAATCAATGGAATCATCACAATTCAAACCTTATTAAAATAAACATTCTGGCCTAGAATGTTCGAGAACAACTTGTTATGAAAGTTGTATGCTTAGAGGACATTTTGTAAGAGAACAGACATTGAGAGGATGCTTTTCAATATCAGTGTCTTTGTCCAACCCTGGGCCCAGTAAATAAAACTGACTGAGCAGGGTTCCCGGATGTATAATACTGTGTGGTCCATTTCTGAAACTAAGTCTAGTTAACCTTTGGGTAAGTCCTAAATGCCTTAGATCATAAAGTTGGAATTGGCATTCTGTTCTCACAGCATTGTTGGCTTTTGCTTCCTCCTCCCTTTACTGCTGCTTTCCTCACTGTAATGACCTGGCTTTCCTCTGGCCTGCTTTTTAAATGGGAGTGTTTTTCTTCTCACTCTGAAGTTGGAATGGGTTGACTCATCCTAAGCAAATCCTTCTACTACTTGAACTTTGAAAATTAGCCATAAACTTGGCCTTGAAGCCCTAGAGGCATTTATTTCTCTTCTAAGATTAGTGAGCCCTGCCTAGAACCTCTTGGCTGCCTGGAACACCGTCACCCTTAATCCCCTCTCTGTTAACCATAGTCATATATACAGGGTGAGAGTTGCTGAGGTATTTGGAGTCCTTTCTCTCTATGTCCCTCTCTGTCACTCTCTTTCTCTCTCCCTTCCTCCCTTCCTCCCTCTCTCCTCTCTCCTCTTTTCTCCTTCTCCTCTCTTGTGCCAGTGAATTCAGGACATCAAGCTCTTGCTTAGCTTCTTCACTCAAAGCTGATGTTCTACCACTTGAATCACAGCTCCACTTCTTGCTTTTTGATGGTTAATTGGAGATAAGAGTCTCACAGACTTTTCTGCCAGAGCTGGCTTTGAAACACAATCCTTAGATCTTATTCCCCTGAGCTAGCTAGGATTACAGGTTTGAGCTACCAGTACCTGACTCTTTCTTACAGTCTTTACATAGGTGAGGAAAAGAAGGCTTGGAGATTTTAAAGTAACTGGTCTAGGTTTATTTAATTGGAGCATGTGATTCTTAAATCTTAAAACTCTTCTTACTCAAGGAGAAAAATAAAGTCTGAGGAAATTCCAGTAATTCTGCCTCTGAGAAATACAACAGTCTCCTCTTCGCTACAGTTTAGTTACTGGCAGACAACTGTAGTTTAGCAATACTAAATGGAAAATTCTAAAAGTAAACAATTTATGTTTTCTTTTAAAAAAACTTTTTTTCTGAACTTCAAAAGATTGTACAAGGGGGTTACAAGGGATAATGTGGCATCTAAGTGTCCAGTGCCTCCTGTTCAGTCATTCCTTCCATCATTCTTCCCTTCCCATATGCATCCACACACACACACACACACACCCCTGTAGCTAGGATTACAGGCATGAGTCACCTGCTCCTAGCTTCTGTTTTGCTTATGATGCTCTTCCTTTCTAGATTTTTCAGAACACCTCTATATGGACATACATTCTTTGTCTATATTTTAGGCACACAGGCGTGTAGAATAATCATGTAAAGCAGTGCAGAAAGGCCAGTGCTGTTTTGCTAGCTGAAGTTTATGTTAAAATAGCACAAAGCTTCCAGCTGCTGGTAGCTCATGCCTGTAATCCTAGCTACTAAGGACGCTGAGATCTGAGGATCACAGTTTAAAGCCAGCCCAGGCAGGAAAGTCTGTGAGACTCTTATCTCCAATTAATCACTCAGAAAACAAGAAGTGGCGCTGTGGTTCAAGTGGTAGAGTGCTTGCCTTGAGCTGAAGAGCTGAGGGTCAGTGCCCAGATCCAGAGTTCAAGCCCCACAACTTACCAAAAAAAAAAAAAGGCACAAAGCTGACCTAAACATGGCATTAGTTTTGTTATTGTTACAATACTAAAATTTTCACTCCTTATAAAAACAGTTCTTGTTTTTTACATTAAGTAGTACAATAGCTTGTACTAATCAAAATTATAATTTCCCTCAAAAATCTTTGTGTCGCAAAGTCTAAACTTGGTGTTTTGGTGCTTAACACTGTCAGTGGGCACTTCAAGAACTGATGTTTTTTGTTGTTGTATTGTTGTTTTTATTTTTGAGCTGTACTGCGGCTTGAATTTAGGCCTGGGCACTGTCCCTTAGCTTTTTCACTGAAGGCTGGTGCCCTACCACTTAAGCCACAGCTCTGCTTCCAGTTTTTTCTTTTGGACTTTTCTTCCTGGACTGGCTTTGAACTGTGATCCTCAGATCTCAGCCTCCTAAGTAGCTAGGATTATAGGTATGAGCCCTAGTGCTGACCCTTAAGGAGTGCTAATAGGGTATAGCTTGGTGCTGTCATCCATTAGAGCACATGACTTGCTCCTGAGAAAAGATGAAAGCTTTAATGGCATCATGAGACTGGGATGAATCTTTAGAGTGCTGACCATCACGGAGACTTTCTCCTCTGTTTACCATTGTAGGCTGACAAGGTAGAAGAGGCATTGCATTTACTTTCTTTTGGTTATGAATAGTAAGCAACATGTCTAGAAGAGGAAAACGCATACTTACCCTGCTATTTGTTTCTACAAGTGGATCGAGATGTTTTGAAAATACCTGCATAGCATTGTACAACTCTCTTGGCTACACAAGATAGCAGAAGCAATGACTAATGAAATTTACAAACTTTTAGTGTGCTTAGTACTCAGATCTAACTCTACCATTCATGTTTAATTACATGCCCATGAGCAAAATCTTTGTGCTTGAACTTTGTTGTGTGTCCACACCTTACAGTCTATGCAATGCATCAGCCTCAGAAATTTCCTCTCACCACCTCTTCTGCAAAGAAACTTTGGTGTGTGTGTGTGTGTGTGTGTGTGTGTGTGTGTGTGTGTGTGTGTCCTGGGGCTTGAAGTTAGTGCCTAGGCACTGTCCCTGAGCTCTTTTGCTCAAGACTAGTGCCCTGCTACTTGAGTTACTACTCCACTTTTGGCTTTTTGGTGATTACTTGGAGATGAGTGTCTCACAGACTTTCCTGGCTGGCCTAGTTTTGAACCACAATCCTCAGATCTCAACCCCCTGAGTAGATAGAATTACAACTATAAGCCACCAGTGACTGGAAGGATAACGTCTTTTGGCTCTCTAGATGGTCTTTAGATAGCTTATACTGAAGACTTTGTCTTTGGAACCAATTTCCCTCAACTTCTAATTACTGGAAACTTAGAAAACTACTATTCTAGTTAATCAGCTTTTTTAGATCTTCCTTTTAAAGCTAATTTTTTATATGTTTTCAAGGGTGTTAGAAAAATAGAAGAGTGCATGTGGGACAGGCTTGGGGTTATAATCAAAGAACTACTTGTACCATTTACTACTGATAGCACCTAGAGTTGGGTTCTCATTCTCTGCCAATTAAAGAATTAAAGGCAGGAAAATGTTTAAAGCAGAGAAAGCTAATTTGACAGTTAAGGAAAAACAGTAAAGACCACTCTTCAATCAGAGGGGCCTCAAAGATTGAAACCCATTTGGACCAGCCAGATATGCTGTCCCTTTACCCTCAGTCCCCAACCCCTGACTATTTTTTGTTTCATTGGTTGAGTGATGGCCATGAATCACTGGGGATCTCATGGTTGCTTTCCTTGCCTTAGAGCATGAGTGCAGAAGTTTTCTTTTAATTGGGCCTCCTACTTGGAAGGCGTTTCTCCACAAGCACAGAATGGGGACATACACTACACTGCCACTCATGTAGGTGCATTACCCAGTGGGAACAAGAGACACATTCATCCCACCCACTTTTTTCCAAACTACCTTGCCAAGACAGCTAACTCTCCCTCATAAGTGACATGGTCTTCAGCAATAACATAAATTCTTTGAGTTATAATACTGGTTGTAACACTGATGTTCACGTGAACTTCACAGTCCAAGGTGAGGGTGGGATCTGTGAAAAATCTTTTGAGAGGCCCTGAGTCTGTTTAAGACTACTTAAGAGATACCACTACCTTTAATAAATATGGCTTTGTCGAATCGAAATTCACATACCATGCCTTCCACCCAATTCAAGGGTAGTGTTCAGTGGCTTAGTAAATACAGGTATGTGTAACCATTAGAACGGTCTGCTTGAAACACTTTTATTGTTTCAAAATCCCCACATCCTTTAGCTATCATTTTCTAACCCTTTCCCATGTCTAATTTTTACTTTGTGTTTATTTATAAATGATAATTTTAAATGAAACAAAGTAAGACTAAGATTTATTTATTTATTTATTTAGTCAGTCATGGGGCCTGAACTCTGGGCCTAGGCACTGTCCCGAAGCTCTTCAGCTCAAGGCTAGCACTCTACCACTTGAGCCACAGCGCCACTTCCGGCTTTTTCTGCTTATGTGGTGCTGAGGAATTTAACCCAGGGCCTCATGTATGCAAGGCAAACATTCTAGCACTGAGTCGCCTTCCCAGCCCAGAGACTAAGATTTCTGATGCATGACATTGAAATACTGCTTCCTATGCAGGCAGGCCTGTGAAAAGGACTTTCTAGTTAACCATCTGATTGCACTGGCAGGAGCAGGGTGGGTAAGCAGAGTGGTGTCACTGGGAAGATTGCAATTCTAAGCTTGTTTCTATTTTGAGACACAGAAAAGAAGGATGAGTACTCATTGTTGAAGTCAGGCCACAAATGTTGTCATGGCTCTGTGAGAAAGCTGGAACAAGGAATGCATGGGTGGGCAGAGGGGCCAGCTGGAAGCTGCCACCTAGAAGCAGATCTACTTGGCCCCAGGAAGCCCAAATTGTCAGGAACCTGATGGTACTTTTTCTTAAATTTGACTTAATGCAGCAGCAGAAGAAAGGAAAATGAAAAGAAGAAAGGGAGGAGCTATTTTTTTGTGATAACCTGTGTGTGTACAATGTTTCTTGGGGAAAAAGCAACTCAGTTTTGGTCTCCTTTTTATTCCAGGCCGCCAGATCCCACCCTTGGACCCCCATGAAAATGGAAGCAGTGGAATGGTCAAGCTTGGGAGCCAGAGCTCGCAAGTCAGCCGACGGTGCTGCTGACCTGAGGCCTGAGCCTTTATCGTGGGCCCTGCTGAAGGAGCCTACTCTGGGGCTGGCACCCACCATACTCCTGAAAGGCCTTCAGGGAGAGGAGCAGGAAATGTCCCTGAAAAACAAGATCTCAGAAAACTGGAGGAAAAACAACACCACCACCACCACATCATCCCAGCATGCCTGAAATCCATGAAATGCACCAGAGAGAGATTAGACTTAATAGGTATAGTTGCTTTTGCTAAAAATCTTAGAAAATTTTCAAGTTTATACACAATCTGAAAGTATACATTTTCCTCTGACTTTGGTGTCACTTATATAGCCAGATCCAGTTGTTTCTCTAGGGCCTTCATTACATGGCCAGCCATTACCACAAGGAAGTATCAGAGCAGAAGGCAAGTTTTTATCTGGCTTTGGAAGTAAGCCTTTATTATACTTTTCTGAAGAAAATCAGAGAACTGTAACTGGACCATCACTCAAGCTGAGACTTGAGAATCTCTAAAACAAAAGAAAGATACAATAGAGACCGGAATCTGTTTCTTTTTTTTAATCTATTGATAAACTCTTCCCCCCCCCCCCCCATTTTTGGTCACATATAAACAAACCAAATCAGACTGAAAGATTGCTTACAGTATAGGGGTCGGGGTCTGGTTTCAGAGAGTCAGTTAAGTAGTTACTATATAAGGAAATGTATAAGTACTATTCAGGAGACCACTTAGCATACATCACCCCCCAGGAAATAAATTCTCACACTTTAAGAGGCATATAATACAAAGTCTTGTTCTACTAAGAGAATAGGTCATGGTTTCATATCTAAGGCAAAAATTAACCAAAAGATGTAAGTCTAAACTGTAAGGCAAACTTTCAATAATAGCAATTAATCATAGGGCACAGCAAACTCAGCCAGAAGAAGTATTACCACCATAAAATTCTAGACTCCCTTCCAAAGCATCAAGTCAGTGAAAGCATTTTAAATGTTGCCAGGCTTGAGCAGGAAGACAATGGGGTCAATCATAGGTCTAACCTGGGGAATACCAATGAAAACTTTCCTTAACAGCCCTGTTGTCTGCTCAGTTAAAGATGTCTGATTTCAAAGTAAGTAAAGAGAAAGCATGGAAAGAACAGCAAAAGTTTGAAAATTCAAATCTTATTTCTAGCTGAATGTTCGGAAAAGCCTGGGATGAAGAAGCAGCTGGTTTTCTTTTTTGGCTTTTTCTTTTTCTCGTGCCAGCACTGGGGCTCCAATCAGGGCCTGGACTCTGTTCCTTAGCTTTTTCCACTCACAGCTCTACTTCCAGCTTTTTGCTGGTTAATTGGAAGAAAGAATCTCATGGACTTTCCTACCTGGCTGTCTTTGAACCTCTATCCTCAGATCTCAGTTTCCTGAGTTGTTAGTATTACAGGCGTGAGCCACTGATGCCCAACACAGCTGGTTTTCTTAACAGGGCTCTTACTAAGAGATGATTCTTAAAGATTAGAAGTACTCTTGGCTATCAAAGGGCCAGGAAGCCATGCAGGCATAGCAAGAAAGTGGGTCAGCTTACAACATGCCAATAGAGGCCACCTGACACCTTCTATCCATGAATGCTCAAAGCCAGCAAATTCTATTGACAAGTCACAGTGTGAAAGCTGGGAAAGAGACTCTAAGCTGTGAGTTTCCAATAACTCAGTCCTTACTGCTGCTGTAGGGATATATCACAACTATGCCACCAAATTCCTGAAGGACAAGATACACTGAATCATGTCATCCATAGAAAGAAGGAGCTGGAGAGCCCAGGGCTAAGTTTACACTTGTTTTCTTTTTTGTTATCTGGATTCACTATATTGCCCAGGCTGGCCTCAAACTTCTGGCTTAAGAGATCTTCCATTTCAGCCTTCCAAGTAGCTGAGACTACAGGTATTCAACATCATACCCATTTTGCATTTTTTGTAGATGGTCACTGAGGAAACAGGACTAGATTCCAGCCACAGATTTGAGCTTTTCGCTTCAACTCCCAACTTGGGAGAGCTGAATGGCAGTCATTGACTGTGAAGGCTAGAAAACACCAAATTTTGGATCAAGAGGGTCACATGCTGGTCAAGACAGGCCATCTCAGAAACTGCAGCAAGCAGTATTTGGGTGTCTCAGTAGCCTTAACAAGGATCATTAAAGCAATCTGCTAGGAATTAGCACACCTCTTGCCAAAGGGAAAGAAATGAGTTGTGCATTGAAGTGACCTCTTTCCAAGTGACATGTGGACTTTTCTGAACCTTTCCTGTACAGCTCTTCCTCAGAGTCTGGGTTTCTCTAGCCAGCAACACAGATTTCTAAGTTAAGATGGTACCTGTTAGCCCAGCTGATAGCATCGCAGCATTTGGCTAGGTGGCAGTATTTGTATTTTACACAAAATGTCTGGAGTTAACCCATATAGTGAGCTAACCACTAATGAACCCTTGGTTTTACTCCAGAAGCAAGTGAGGTTATAAAAAACACTCTTGTGTATGTGTGCACCAGGACTAGATGCTGTCCCTTAGTTTTCATGCTCAAAGCTGGCATTTTACCACTTGAGCCACAGCTCCACACCCATGAAACACTTTTTTTGTTACCTTATTTCATACACCTTCAATTGTGCCTTAGCTATTGAAGCCAGCAGAGGACAAAGTGCTATAATCACCACAAGGAGATAAGAGAGTAGATGACCCTTGGACACATAGTATCTTGAGTTTTTCCTGAAAATAGATGCTTCAAGCTTGTCTACAATGGCACTTGCCTATTTTCTTGATTTTAGCTTGACATGATTTTCTAGTTGTTTTAAGTTGAGCCATCAGCATTTAACAATAGTATGAAAAGACCTAGAAATTGCTTTGCTGAAAATGTCAAGTAGTTTTATGGGATGTGCATCTTGGCCTCATCTCCCAAAATTTACCCTTCCTCCATTTTCATGTGTAATATATGTGTGTATATGTGTAAATATGATTTTCTATTGGTTATACTGGCATGTAATCCTTTTCAAACAGTGTGGGAGCTGGCTCAAGCTTTAAAGACAGCCTGGGCAGGAAAGTCTGTGAGTCTTTTTTCTCCAATTAACCACCAAAAAGCCAGAGTAAAGCTCTAGCTCAAGTGCTAGAGTTCTAGCTTGAGTAGAAAAGCTAAGGCTCTGATTTCAAGCCCTGATACCAGCATAACAAGAATCAAAACAACAACAAAAGAACAGTGTGGGTTTGGCTCACAGGCATGTGCTTTATAAGGTCGGGCTTATAAAGCTTAGGTGGAGTTCTTAACCCCTGAGAATAGCAGTGGAGTCATGCAAACATTCCCCACAGATACTGAATTGACTTGCCACTTTCCAGACTAGAAGTGGTTCATTAGGATGCTGTATAGGACATTAACTTTGCAAAGCATAATGTTGAAGACTCCAAGCTGAGTTTTAGCCAACCATTGGGCTATGCCCTGATGAAAACCAAGCTCTTTTCCTGAGGGAAGTTTGGATGACTGAGCTATTTCCTCAAAGGTCAACGCTGAGGCCTGCTATAGCCAGAAGTAAGCTGCTTTGTGTGGGTGGGCTTCACTTCTCACTACTCTGCCAAACAGAGTGGTCAGCCATCCAGCTTCTGAACCAGAGGTCTCTGAGCTATGGTGAAGCCAAGCAGCTATGGAGATTGTACTCACTACCATTGACCAGAGACCCAGTGACTGTGCAATCACACCAACTGCAGCCTTTTCCTTCTGCCTCTGCAAAGGTCTTCCACTGGGCTGGACCCGGTTCTTGCATTTGCAAGATTCCTTTACAGAGGATCTTTGCACCTTGTCCTCTAATGCATAGTAAAGTGCTCCTTTGACAACACCTCTTTCTATCCATTATTTTGGGTTTTAACACACACTGTTCTGTATTAATAAAATATTTTAAGTTTTACCACATTTGTCTGTTTCTTATTACTCAAAAATTTTTGAATTGCTTTTAATTCAGAATTAAGAGTGGTAATTCTCCAGAGAAATAAATGCATTGTACCTCTGAATACATGTAGAAGGATGTTCACTGAGGCACTGGTGGCAATATGTATACAGATAAACAGTGTCAAGCACTAGTGTTTCATGATCCTAGCTACTCAGGAAGCTGAGATCTGAGAATCAGAGTTCATAGTCAATCTAAGACAAATCTGAGAGACTGTTATCACCTATTAACCAGCAAAAAGCCAGAAGTGGAGGTGTGCCTCAAGTGGTAGCATATTAGCCTAGGATTAAAAGCTAAACAAGAGTTTGAGAGACTGAGTTCAAGTCCCAGTATTGGCACACTCACACAAAAGGAAATGGAAGCAAAGTAGAGCACAGGCCCATGGTGAAAGCTATGGGATAATTGGAATGAGTCAGTAATCTACATGGTATCAACATGCTTCTCAAAGGCAGAACATGAAATGCTAGGCTGCCATCCTGCACATCGATGAGGGTGTATAACAGGACTCATGGGAATTGTGCTATATACAACTTGAGTAACAGAACTGTGGCCTTTGCCACAGTTGAAAGTTGAATTACAAATGCTTATCAAATGCACAAAGAATAAAGTATATTTGAGAAAGAGGATGGGAAGGAATAGGAGGAGGAGAAGGGAGAGGACGAGAAAGAGGATGAAAAGAGGAGAAAGAAGAAACAAAACAGGACCTGCTCAGAATGGGGTCGTACTCCCAGATGAATCTTCTGGTTAGAAATCTTACCACAAGTACTGTGGAAGAAAACAAAAGACCATGGGGTCAGGAGAGTTCATTGGCTCACCTGCTATCATCTACCTAAGAGAGGAGAAAAGCTCCAGATGGCCTACAGGTTTGTTGTATTTCCTCAGTATTTAAACTCATCAATTTATGTTTATTCTGCTGCTTCCTCAGTTTCATATGCTGGCCTAAAAGCTATAAGTCCTATTTTAATTATTGTGCATTAATCTGCAGCCTAAATAAACTAGTAACAGGGTTAAAACAAACAACAAAAATGCTCACATGAATTCAAAACCCAGGGTTGCAATACAGGTCTCCAACATTTAAGTGTTGATATTGACAAAGGTGAGTTAAAAATATACTTAGAGCTGGGAGTGTAGCTTAGTGGTAGAGTGCTTGTCTAGCATACATGTAGCCCTGAGTTCAATTCCTCAGTATCACATAAACAGAAAAAGCTGGAAGTGGCGCTGTGGCTCAAGTAGTAGATTGCTAGTCTTGAGCAAAAGAAGCTCAGGGACAGTGTTAGCCAAATTAGTCCTTTCCCATAGCTTAGTCCATTCCTTCCCTTCTCCACAGCTTAGCATGCTCCCTTCCTAGGCAACACTAGGCCCATGTAGTAAAGGCAGTAAATAATCAGCCTCCAACCCCCTTTACCTTGGGATGGTACTTCTCTGGGGCAGCTACCACTACATAAGGCAACAAGAGCCCGTTAGAGTGACCTTCAGGTCTGGGCAGCTGCAGGACCCCTTATCTACTATTTGGACAGTAGTCATAAATCCTAGTCTGCCATGATGAAGGCCTGGCCCACACGTCCACACCAGGGTTCAGTCTCCTAGCCCCTTCTAGCCCCTCCTAGACCTCCTAGGTTATATAGGTCACCCCAGACAATAGCCGGTGCTTCTCACTTCTCCCTTGTGAGAGTCTTGCTGGCCCCCTTTCCTGGCAATAAACCTGTCTTTGTTCTCTGTACCTGGATGTCTGTGTGGTTCTCTGGCAAAGTCTAATAATCTTACAGTGTGTATTTAATATCATATATAATCTATTGCTTATAACACAGTGCTCTGAGTTTAAGTTGGTATGAAACAATAAACACCATCTTTCAGTTTCTGAGGGCAGGAATTTGAAAGTGGCTTAGTTGAGTGAGTCTGGCTGGAGTAGCTAATACAACTAAATTGAGATGTTGGCTGGGACTGAAACTATCTGAAGATTCAACTGCCTGGGATTCTGCATCCTAGACTAATTCACCAACTGTGGGCAGGAGGCCATATAACATGGCATAAGACCTCACTGTGTCGGATGCAGAAAGCTGAATTCAGTTAATCTAGTTCTCTTACGTGGCTTATAGTAGCTTCCAGCACTTTTGTTATAAACATGCTATCAGAATTTAAGTTTCTCTCACTTCTTCCTAGAGTTCACAAAAAGTATCAGGGTTCATGCACATTGCTAGAGGGCTTCTGTGAAAATCTGATTCATCTGTCTGGTCTGTAGTTTACAGACCCCATGCCCATCCACTCTTGGCCTTTCTGTCCTCTGTCTTGTATACCTGACTCAGGCCATTTCCTTCCCTCGTTTGGAGCACCAGGGAGATTTTGGATGTAAGCAAGGGCCCCTTTGTATCTCCATCTACTCACCCATGCATTCCTCCGTTCACTTACCTATCTACCCACTCCTTATGAGTCCACTCATCCCATCCACTCATCAGGTGCTGAATTAGTCCTCCATGCCCCATCGGATCTGCATAATTGTCAGGCTTACACAAAAGGAAACAGAAAAACAATGTAAGCCAAGAATGGCCAGAATGAGAAGTTCCTGCAACTACAGATAAGCTACAGGCTGGAGTAGGCCTTTTGGCCACATGGGTAGAAACCTGGGCTCTTCTCTCTTCTTCAAAGGATCCTGAGGGAGTTATACAGCCTCTCAGTCTCAGTACTGAGTATCTAGTATCCCATTCTGGGGATGACATCAAGATGAAGTGAAATCATGTGCACATGATTTTGGACAGGGAACTTGGTGTTTGTAATGATCTCATAAGCGTTGACTTTTCCCTGGAGCTGGGAAGAGCTCCTCTTACCTGATACTTTTTGTGATCTGTTCACTTTTTTTTTTTTTTTTTTTGCGGGGCGGGGGGGGGGTGGGGGGGGTGGGGGAAGCAATGATGTATAGAGGTTAAGAAAGTCAGAGTCAGAAATTTAGAATCAGACCATCCAAATCCTGCTCCCTATTCTACCAGTTGCTGGTTGATGGAACTTTAGCAAATGAGCCACCCCCTCCCCCGCCCCCCGAGCATGTTAAATGAAGATAGGCACGTACATGTATACATAACCACAATTCTGGAACCCAGAAAGCTTCATAAATTAAAAAGTTCTCAAGATAGGTCTGATGGCTCAGACCTATAATCCTACTCAAGGGGCTGAGCTCTGAGGTTAACAGTTCAAAACCAGCCCATGCTGAAAAGTCTGTGAGAGTCTTATCTCCAATGAATCAGCAAAAAGCCAGAAGTGGAGCTGTGGTTCAAGTGGCAGAGTACTTGAGTGAAAAAAACTATGGGATAGTGCCCAGGTCCTAAGTTCAAGCCCCAGTAATGGAGAGGGGGGAAGAAGAAGCTTAAGAAACCAATCCTGAACTGATGTGGGTGAATATTTGCTCACTAGCCTGTAGAAATACTACTGTGTTGTTTTGTTTTTGGTTGTTTGTGGGGCTTGAACTCAGGGCCTGGGCGCTGTCCCTGAGCTCTTTTGTTCAAGGCTGTTGCTCTACCACATTAAGCCATAGCTCCATTTCTAGTTTTTGAGTGATTAACTGGCGACGAGAGAGTCTCATGGGGATTTTTCTGCCTGGGCTGGCTTTGAACGGTGATCCTCAGATCTCAGCCTCCTGAATAGCTAGAATTACAAGCATGAGCCACCAGCACCTGTCTCTACTGTGTCTGATTATAGGATTCTCTCCAACTCTATTGGGATGCTCTGTGGTAGACACACATTATACTACTTTTATAAAATTCAAACAACAGTACTAATTCTGAAAGCATCTACCACCAACACATTAGCATATTATCAGCCCTTGGAAGCTAAGTCATGACCATGCCCTGAGGACTAAGCAAGCAGTGCTTGGGGTGAGACTGGTTCAAGAGGAGCTCCCATAATCCCACAAATGCTTTCTATTGGGAACGTAATGCTCATGGCGCTACCTGAGTTGAGCCACAAGGTTTTTTTCTCAGAGAAGCATTTTTTTTTTCCTCTGTGGCCCTTGCACCAAGCAAGAATTCAAAAGGGTCCCGGTGCAATGACTCACAACTATAATTCTAGCTATTGTGAGGCAGGGATCAGGAGGATAATAGTTCAGATCAGCTGGGGCAAAAAGGTTAATCAAATGCTACTGAATCAACTACTGAAAGCAGTGTACGGTGGCCCACACCTGTCATCAAAGCTACACAGGAAGCATAAGTAGGAGGATATAAATAGCATAAATAGGAGGTCCATGTGGGCCTAGGCATAAATAAAAGACCCTATCTTGAAAAAAAAAATAAAGCAAAATGAGTTGGGGATGTGGTTCACGTGGTAGAGCGCTTGCCTAGCAAGAACAGAGCTCTGAGTTCAACAAGGAAAAACTCAAAACTGTCACAGCTGTGTTTTGGTGGCTCATGTCTATAATCTTAGCTACTTAGGAGGCTGGGATCTAAGGGTCATGGTTCAATGCCAGCTAGGGCAGGAAAACCAAGAGACTCTTATCTCCAGTTAACCACCAGAAAACCAGATGTGTCACTGTGGCTCAAAGTAGTAAAGCACTAGCCTTGAGTTAAAGAGCTCAGGGATAGTATCCAGGCCCTGAATTCAAGCCCTACAACCGAAATAAATAAAAGAGAAAAAACTATCAGTGATATGCCATATGAATCAAGCAGCCTGCTGTGTTAGACAGTCTCAAGTATTTCACAGCTCATTTTAACAATCTTTATGTGGTTGATACTATTATTGTCTCCATTTTACAGATGAGTAGATAAAGGCTCAGGAGGGTAATTGCCCAAGATCATTAGACCTAAGTAAAATAGACTAGAGCTGGTAGCACATGCCTGTAATCCTAGCTACTCAGGAGGCTAAGATCTGAGGATTGCAGTTCAAAGCCAGCCTAGGTACATCTTGAACCAATTAACCACCAGAAAATGTGGCTCAAATTGGTAGAGTGCCGCCTTGAGTAAAAAGAGCTCAGGGACAGATCCCAGACCCTGGATTCATGAACTACTTTCAAATTGTATCCTGTTCTGTCCACAAAACAAATCTGAGAAGAATGCATCATATTCATATTCATTAGACCTTCCTCGCCCTCCTTCTCATGCTGAGGTCGGAACCCAGGGCCTTACACATCCTAGGCAAGCGCTCTGCCTCTGAGCTACATCCCTAGCCCAGTTCTTCTCATTTGTAAGGAAGGAGCAGAGGGAGTTTAATTTAATTCAGAGAAAGTAGGGCAAGCTGTATCCATGCCAAGGCCTGTCCTACTTTCTAAACTCATTCTCACATATGAGGAGGAAGTTTTGACTGGAGAACTTTGAGTTAATAGCTCAGACCAGAAGATCTGAATCACCCAATTAATAGAGACTTGCTGGTTTGCTTTCTCGTATCATCTGATCCCAAACTGCTGGTCTCACTGTCCTGGAATTGACAGCTCAGGCAGCTTCAAGTATCTTTTCATGTCTGTCCCTGACCTTGATGTTGAAACCATTGCTCAGCTCCCTCAGGAGCTCAGGCAATCCTCCATGCCCTAAGCCTGTCTCCTTCTAAAGTGTACATAAGGAAAATGTTGGGGGGAAACTCAACAAGACCTCTTCAACCAAGTGCTCAAGGTCATCAATGATCAGTCATGTTTAGTAGCATGTACCTTCATAAGTTTATAGTAAAAACAGTGAAGTAAGGGTCTAAGTAAGTCATCTTGCTTTCACAACCATCCTGTTGCCTAACCAGGTGATAGGGGCTGTCTACCCAGCTTCCAATGCCTAGAGGTGAGACAAGCCATCCTTTGAATTGCAGATAAACTAAGTAGTTTAGATCCAAGAGAGGATGTGTAAACACATCCTGATGTTTAGCCCCAGAGAAATCCTACCTCTCAGGTGATGGATGTGCCTGAAGGACAGGGCGGGGACTGGAATGATAGGTTACTGGACCTATCAATCCAGTGCCTTGAACTTGGGAGATCCTGTCCTCAGAATTGTCTGGATTTTAGGGTCAGAGTAGAGCAGAGCAGATGCCATTATGCCAGGCTTCATGTGCTGTGTCTCCTGGCTCTCCTCTGGTCATCATGGTGTCCCATTCATAAGAGTTGATCTGGGTTATTGGTATTGTTTTTCTGCTCTTTCTTTCCTCTCCTGCTCTCATGGCTCAGTTTTCTAAGTGTTAAGTGTATTCACAGGGCTGCAGGTCTCTGCGAGAAGAGTTGCCTGTATTCACCAGCTTTCCAATTCAACCTCTTTATCTTCTCTATCTCACTGATGGGATTCACCCATCACCCATTCACTGGTTGCCAGTGGCTCACACCTGTAATCCTAGCTATTAGGGAGGCTGAGATGTGAACATTGCATTGGAAGCCATCCTAGGCAAGAAAGTCTGTGAGACTCTTATCTCCAATCAATCACACAAAAGAGCCAGAAGTGGAGCTGTGGCTCAAAGTGGTAGAGCACTAGACTTGAGTGATAAAACTCAGGGAGAGCACCCAGGCCCTGAGTTCAAGACCCACAACTGGGGGAAAAAAATCACTTCTGTTTTTCTGCTTAAAGTTCACCACCCATGAGCAATATATCAGATAAACTAATTGAGGTAGAACTTTCCAATATTTTGAAGTTACCAGGTTTATTCCTAAGGAGTCTAGGAATAAAAGTCCATAATAAAGCAAGAACTGTGCTATCTGTACAGACACTGGCCAGGAAGCCTCAGTGTGAGGGAGAGAGGGACAATTGAGGGAGGAGCTATTGTGTCAAAGCACCATCACTGGGTCCCTTTTCTGGGAGAGAGCACCAGAATATACTATTTTTCTTTCATTTATTTTTCTGGTGCTGGTTCTGGGGCTTGAACTCATGGACTGGGTGCTGTCCCTTAGCTTTTTTTGCTCATAGCCAGTGCTCTACCACTTGAGCCATACCTCCACTTCCAAGAATACATTCTTAAGGAAATATGATTATGAAAATAAAATCTGTTTGAAAATGTCTCATTTGAAAAAATCTGCATGTGGGCAGAAAAAGACCAACAATGGACCTAGTACCCATGATCCCTGAAAATGGACGTGATAAGTAATTTTTGTTTCCTTTTTAGGGATGTTTTCTAATTTTTTTTATTATAAATGTGTATTGTTTATGAAAGTATAAAAGCACACATTTATACCAGGATAATGTGTGTGTGTGTGTGTGTGTGTGTGTGTGTGTTATTATTATGTCAGTTGTGGAGCCTAAACTCTGGTCTGGGCACTGTCCCTCAGCTCTCCAAGGCTAGTGCTCTACCACTTTGAGCCACAGCACCACTTCCAGTTTTTTCTACTTATGTGGTGCTGAGGAATCGAACTCAGGGCCTCATGCAGGAGAGGTAAGCACTCTACCACTGAGCCACTTTCCCATATTTTTTTTAAAGCTAGTCTCTAATGTTGTGTTTGTAAGGGTAGAAATGAATTCCCACTTTGTGTTGATACCAACTTCCTTGCATTCTGGGTGCAAATTAAGATTCCACCAACTTAGAGCGCTAGCCTTGAGCTGAAGAGCTGAGGGACAGTGCTCAGGCCCAGAGTTCAGGCCCCACGACCGGACTCAAAAAAAAAAAAAAAAAAAAAAGATTCCACCAACAAATGAGCCTGTTGAGGAGGCCATTATTCACTCCTTGCTCTGTTCCTCCTGCAAGGTGCCAGGTGGAAAGACTGTTTGAGCAGAATACCAACGTTCATTTACCTCTACCTCTAAGCAGAGAGGAAGTCTAGACCATGGTGGTTCATGCTAGATACAGCTCTCGCAGAAAGTTCCTGCAGCCAGCCCAGCTATGACAGTGGTGGTCTCTGATTCCCTCTCTGCTTTTCTAGGGTTCCTGAGGCTACAGTAGCCCTGAAGGCCTCCCAGCATTCTGGGAAATGCTTCTGGACCCTTAACCTCAATAGGAGCTTTTCCATATGTTTTATTATTGCCTAAGCTATCCTATGCCAAAAATAAGTGGTGGTTTCTGTTTCCCGAGACACAACCCTCACATACATAAAGACTCTTGAGCAATTTGCAGACAGCTTGTACTGAAGGAAAACATATATTTTATGAGGAGAGCCATCAATATTTCAAGTTTCTTGGAAACCATGTGAAATGTGGGAGGAAGAGTAGGAACTACTAGAACCTAACAGGCAAAATTGTAACCTAAAACTGGGAAGGAGAATAGCTCAGGGTCACAGATCTCTGCGTTTTATCTAAGATACAATGTAGCATAAACATTTTCTAAATAGATCAACTCTTTTCCCCCTACAGCCCTATCTCCTCAAAGAGCAGAGATACCAAATTATAAATGCTTGTTTGTAGGATTTCAGGGTAAAGAACACTTTCTCTTGGTGATAGCACTTCAGTGTTTCAATTCCTCCACTTCCCTCCAACTATCTAGGGGTAAACATAGCTGTGCCAAGTGCTCTGGCCTCTTGCTGTTTTCCCATGTGAAGCAGTCAACCTAGTCTGATCCTAGACACAACCACAAGGACTGTGAGCGGGGCACCAGTAGCTCATACTTGTAATCCTAGCTACTCAGGAGACTGAGATCTGAGGATTGTGGTTCAAAGCCAGCCAGGGCAGGAAAAGTCCATGAGACTCTTATCTCCAATAAATCACTAACAAAACTGGAAGTGGTGCTGTGGCTTGAGTGGTAGAGTGCTAGCCTTGAACTGAAGAGCTGAGGAACAGAGCCCAGGCTCAGAGTTTAAGCTCCACTACCACCACCTCCACCATCACCACCACTACCAGCAACGGCAAAAGAATTGGCTCAATGTCTAGCAAATGCCCATTAAAGGCTTGACCTCCAGCCTGTGACACTATTGTAAGTGGTAGTGACCTTAAGAGATGAGGCCCAATGGGATATTTTCTGGTCACTGGAGGCTATGACCTTGAAAGAGACAGTAGAAGCCCAGGCCCTTCTCTTTCCTTGCTTCCCAGCCACCATGAGGTAAATAATTTCCTCTGTCACATTCACCTGCCATAATATACCATCTAACAACAGGTCCAAAGGAATGGGGCTAGCTGACTATCCGCTAAAATATCCAAAACTGTGAGTCCAAAACAAATCTGCCTTTCTTGCTCTCTCTCTCTTTTTTCCTTTCTTTCTCTTTCTTTTCTTCATTTCTCTGTCTCTGTCTCTGTCTCTCTCCTTCTTTCTTTGTGCCAGTACTGGGGCTTGAACTCAGAACCTTGCACTCTTGCTTGGCTGGCTCAAGGTTGGTGCTCTACCATTTGACCTATACCTCTACTTCTGCCTTTTTTCCCCACTAACATAAGAACATAGGAACTAGAGTTGCCTTTCAGGCTGGCTTTGACCCATGACTCTCAGATCAGTCTCCTGAGTAACTAGGAATACAGGCATGAGCCACTACTAGCCCCTGACACAAACCTTTCCGCTTTTAAATTGATAACTCAGGTATTTGTTGCATTGCTGGAAAGCTGACCAACAGAAGGACTTACATTACTTATGTCCAATCTTATGTTTTTGCTTCCTTTCTCCTAATACTAAGGAAGACTATATTAGATGATAAGTGTCTGATATTTATTTTCATTATCTGCTTTAAAATGTTGCACAATCAGCTGCTGCAGCCTTTTATAGTAGAGAATAAATTCATACATTACATCCTAAAGTTCTGTTAACTCTTTACCCAAAGCCAATCAGCCAGGAAAGAAATAGCTTATTTTGTCAGGATGAGCTCTTTCCTTAGAAAAGGATTAAGTAACAATACCAAAAATTATGAATTTACAAGTCATTTAAGGATACAGGCGGACCCGATGCAACTATGAGAAGTACAGGTTGTTATGTCAAAAACGAACTTTACAACTTTGGTCCGGGGGGGGGGGGGGGGGGGGGGGGGGGAAGGGATGTGAAGGGTAAACAAAGGAGGAGGCTGCAATGCTTGATAAGAAATGTACTCATTATCTTGCCCATGTAATTGTAACCCCTCTGTACAGCATGTTCACAAAAAATAAAAATTTAAAATTTAAAAAAAATTATGAATTTGCTAAGACCAACATCTCTTTCCTCCATCTCCACTCCCCCTTAAAAATACATTTCAGCTGGGTGATGGTAGCTCACATGTGTAATCTGAGCTACTCAGGAGACAGATCTGAGAATTGTGGCATGGGACCAGACCAGGAAGAAAAGTCTTATCAGCAGTTAACCAGCAGAAATCTGAGGCAGAGCTGTGGCTCAAGTGCTACATAGTGCCAATCTTGAGCAAAATAGCCAAACAAAAGCAGGAGGCCCTGAGTACTAGCATCCACATACATACAAAATATGTTCTGGTATAAATAATAATAGATGTTCTGAAGCTTCTATTTTACTTAGGCAATCTTTTTAGTTTCAACTCTCACACTGATGTGGTAAAACAAAAAAAGTATACATCAAGAATATAAAACTCTATGTTGACCCATATCTTGAGCAGCATGTGTTCTAAAGAGATTGGGAAATAAACAAGTAGTCTAAAACTGACAGACTTCCAGATATTCCTGGAGGAGAGGTATTTATGTGCTAAGGATCTAACCCAGGGTCTTATACATACCAGGCAAGCTTTCCACCACTCAACTCCCTCCTCATTACTGAGGAAAGGGATTGGATCTCAATTCTATAGAATGAGCTAGGATGGAGCACGAGGAGGGTGAGAGTAAGAAGATGGTAAACTGGAGGTACTGAAAAAGTATAGGTGAAGCTCATGGAGGTGGAAGATGGGACAGAGGCTATATGACAGAAGCTGGACATTTGCCATCAGGTGACAGTTTTCCAAAAAAGGCTAGAATGATCTTGGGACATGTAGTTATGCTGTGGTTTCCATCTGGTATGTCTTCTAAAAGCTTACTTTGGAAGCTTGGTACCCAATGTGGCAGCAGAGATGTGGTAGGACCTTTAAGAGGTGGTGAGGTACTTTGTCAGGGCATGGGGGAGGGGCAAGAGGGTAGTTGACAGTACTGCCTTTGGAAGGGATTGAGGTAGTTCTCATGAACCTGAGATACAGAGTCCTTGTGAGAAGGTTGTTAGGAGAAGGTCTGGCTTTTCCCCATGCTCTGGCTACCTGTGTTACCCTGTGATTTCTTCCTCTTGATCTACTCCATCATTGTTGGACCTCATGTTTATATACCATGAGGTGTTGTTAGGCACTTTACCACTACATCTATGCCCTACCCCTAAATTTCTCTTTTCATAAAATTTCCAGCCTGGAATGTTTTGTTATAGTAACAAAAAATGTACTAACATAATAAGAAAGTCATAAAGAGAAAGGAGGGTCTAGAGAACCCTGGAGGTAGATTATAGGAACATTTGTTTACATTACCCAGTCTGGACAGGAAATTCAACAAAGATCAGAGTCTAGTACAGCTATTCTGAGTATGGACTTTAGGCCCAGCCCTCATCCCTGCTTTGTGACCTTAAATGAGCTATGTATCTTCTGTAAGGTTCAGCTTTCCCATCTGTAAAGTGCTGATCATAATGGCACTGATGTCAGTGGTTTGTGGTGCTTTAGGAAATAATGCCTGTGGATGTATATGTCACCACAGCCTCATCCAGTGTAGCCACCAGCACCAAGACTGTGCTGAAGCTCTCAGGTATCACTGTTGGGAGTACTGATGGAGAAGACCAACTGTAAGTGCTACCTGAGTATAAGCTGTAACTCACATTTTGTTATCAATTTAGATAAACTGGAAAAAAGTTTTATGGTGGAGTAAAGCTTTCACTGTGAAACATCTATGAAAGATCAGGAATGGAGGTAGAACAAAGAGCTGTAAATAGAAGTTGTTCAAGCTGGAGTCCCAAAAAGAACCAGAAATGAAATAGAACAATCAAGAAGAAACAAATGAGCTGGGCACTGGTGGCCAACTCCTGTAATTCTAGCTACTCAAGAAGCTGAGATCTAAGGATTCAGGCTCAAAACCAGCCTGGGTAGAAACTTAAGTTCAATTAACCATCGAAAGCCAGAAATGAAGGCATGGCTCAAGTGGTAGAATATCAGCCTTAAATGGCAAAAGCCAATTGAGAGCTTGACATTCTGAGTTCAAGCTCAAGTAGTACTGGCACCCTGCCCCCCACTCCAGAAAGGGGGAGAAGAGAAAGAGAGAGAGAGAGAGAGAGAGAGAAAGAGAGAGAGAGAAACAAATGAAGGTGATATCAGTGGTAAAGGGGAGAAAGGAAGAGAAGAATTGCATTAAGTAGGTGTCAGTGTTGAACCAAGAATAAGTTGTCATGAAAACTGTGTGTGTGTGTGTGTGTATGTGTGTGTGTGTGTGTGTGTGTGTGTGTGTGTGTGGAGGGGGGGAGAAGGAGGGAGAGAGAGATGCAGGGAATCATCTACTACTTGGTCTCCTGGTGAGTGAAGTTATTCAGTGAATACTTAATCAGACTTCATTTGTTTTTCTGAGAAGGACATCAAGTGTTTTGTTTGTTGCTTCTTTTGCATTTTTATTTACTTATTTTTTGTTCAAAAACTTCATTACAAGTATTTTTCTTCCAGAAATACAATTGTTCTGATCTCAGAGTTCTTGGACATAACCCATACCAAAGAGAAGGCCTCTGTTCGGTGGTCAGCCACTTACTCCATATGTCCAGAGAGAAGCCTGAGACCTCACAGCAGAATAGCAATATCCCTAATTTCTCAATAAACAACATCTCCATCAGTTTCCAGCCAGATGACTCCAAACAGGAGACTGTTCTTAAGTCCCCACCAAAACCCCAGTTTAAAATGGGCAACACACCAAAGATCTCAGCAAAAAGGGGAACCATTCCTAAGTCCGCAGTACCTGTTACCCAGTCTAAGCATGGTAGAATCCCCAAGTCCATGGCAAAAACTATCCAGCCCAAACAGGATTCCACCCCTCAGCCCGCAGAGGAAAACAGCCAGTTCAATGAGAGTGGTATTTCCAAGTCCCCAGAGGAAACTGTCCAGTCCTGTGTGGGTGGTTTCCTCAAGTCTTCAGCACAGACCATTGGACCCAGACAGAAGACTATCCCTCAGGCCGCAGAGGAAAACAGCCAGTTCAATGAAAGTGGTACTTCCCAGTCCCCAGAGGAATCTGTCCAGTCCTATGTGGGTGGTTTCCTCAAGTCTTCAGCACAGACCATTGAGCCCAGACAGAAGACTAGCGCTCAGGATGCAGAGGAAAACAGCCAGTTCAATGAGAGTGGTATTTCCGAGTCCCCAGAGGAATCTGCCCAGTCCTATGTGGGTGTTTTCCTCAAGTCTTCAGCACAGACCATTGGGCCCAGACAGAAGACTAGCGCTCAGGATGCAGAGGAAAACAGCCAGTTCAATGAGAGTGGTATTTCCGAGTCCCCAGAGGAATCTGTCCAGTCCTATGTGGGTGGTTTCCTCAAGCCTTCAGCACAGACCATTGGGCCCAGACAGAAGACTATCCCTCAGGATGCGGAGGAAAACAACCAGTTCAATGAAAGTGGTACTTCCGAGTCCCCAGAGGAATCTGTCCAGTCCTATGTGGGTGGTTTCCTCAAGTCTGCAACACAGACAGTTCAACCTAGACAAAGGACCATCTCCAATTCCTCAGAGAAAACTGGCCAGTCTAATGAGGGCAGCATCCCCAAGTCCTCTGTACCCATGCAACCTAAGCAAGATGTCCTCAAGTCCATGGCAAAACCTATCCATTCCAAGCAGAGGACCATCCCCAAGACCTCAGAGGAAACCAGCCAATCCAATGAAGGTGGCATTCCCATTCATCCCAAACTCAGGACTATTCCTCAGGGAAAGGACAAGTCCTCAGAGGAAACTGACCAACTCAATGAAGATGACATCCCCCAGTCCTCAGCATACATCCAACTCAAGCCAGGAGATACCTTAAAGTCCTTGGCAAAACCAGTGCCTCCCAAGCAGGGGAGCATGTTCAAGTCCTTAGAGGAAACTGACCAGGCCAATAAGGAAGATATCCTCCAGTCCTCAGCCTACATACAACTGAAGGAATTAGTAAAATCTATCCAATACAAGCCAGGGGTCCTCCTCCAGTCCTTAGAAGAAAATAGCCAGTTCAGTGAGGATAGTGCCCCCAAGTCCCCAGCATATACTTTACATCACAAGTCTTTGGTGAAAACTATTCTACCTAACGATGAGACAATCCCCAAGTTTTCAGGGGAAACCAACAAGTCCAAAAAAGATGGCATCCCCAAGTCCTCAGTATATACCAACAAGTTCAAGGAAGTCAAACCCTTATACAAATCCATCCTGCCTAAGAAGGGCAGCATCACTAATGTCTCAGAGGAAACCTTGCAGCAGCCCATGAAAAGCACCCTTGAAAAGTTCCAAGAAGAATTGACAGAATACCCAAAGGAAACCCTGGTGAACATGATTCTGAGCCATGATGAATTCAAGGACATGCTCAGGGAGGCAGAGCATAAGCTGGTAGTAGTGAACTTCTCAGCCTCTTGGTGCAGCTCTTGTAGGATTATGAGGCCATTCTACCATTCCTTGTCTGTGAAGTATGAGAATGTGATGTTTCTGGAAGTGGATGCTGATGATTGTGAGGAGGTGGTGAAAGTGTGTTCAGTTGCGTGTCTTCCAACCTTTCAGTTTTATAAAAAAGAAGAAAAAGTGTATGAGTTTCATGGGGCCCTTAAGGAAAAACTTGAAGAAACCATTAGAGAATTAAAATAATCCTATATTCTGAGAACATTGTAAACAGTCAGTGGTTGATAGCTTAGTACTTTTTTTGTAACTTGCGGGGAGGGGGGAGCGGGGGGAAGTTATGTAAAACAAATATAGATCAAAATGTTATTGCTTGTATATTATACATAATAATGTGCATAAATATGAAGTCTATCCTTCTCAAAGCACAAAACATGCCGGGCGCCAGTGGCTCACGCCTGTAATCCTAGCTACTCAGGAGCCTGAGATCTGAGGATCATGGTTCAAAGCCAGCCCGGGCAGGAAAGTCCATGAAACTCTTATCTCCAATAAAACACCAGAAAACTGGAAGTGGCACTGTAGTTCAAGTGGTACAGTGCTAGCCTTGAGCAGAAGAGCTGAGGGACAGCGCCCAGGCCCAGAGTTCAAGGCCTACGACCAACCAAAAAGAAAAAGAACATAAAACATATTCTGATCATACTTTTATTGGAAAGAGAGGGTGAAATTAACAATTCCTTGTCTGAGGCTGGGAATGTGGCTTAGGGGTAGAGTGCTTGGCTAGCATGCATGAAGTCCTGGGTTTGATTTCTCAGTACCACGTAAAAAACAACAAAAAAGCTGGAAGTAGTGCTATGGCTCAAGTGGTAGAGTGCTAGCCTTAAGCAAAAGAAGCTCAGGGACAATGCCTAGGCCCTGAGTTCAAGCCCCAGGACTGGCAAAAAGAATTCCTTGTCTGAGGTTCCACTGTTTCCTCTTTTCTTATATTTTATTCTTCTGTTTATCTTTAAAAATTCTGCTCACTGTTTGCAGCAATATTGGAAAGGTGGGTCACTTCTGTAGATATTTATGACTAAAAGATGAATGGAAAGTTTTTTTCCCACGCTTACATATCTTTGGAGGTCCTGCTAAGACACTTCTGGACATAGTCACATGTCATAGCTAACCTTCTTCTTGTATTAGGATGCTGAAAATGTGCCCACAAACCAAGGATGCTTCCCAATTTCAGGTCCAGTGCTTTTCTTTCTTTCTTCCCTTTCCTTCCTTCCTTTCCTTCCTCCCTCCCTTCCCCCCACCCTCCTCCTCCTTTCTTCATCTTCCTCTTCCACCTCCTCCTCCTCCTCCCCAGGTTCTGGATTCCTTTTCCTAGGCATCTTTAAGACAAAAGACCTACGTCTGGATCAAGTCTGGCTTGGTACAATCTTCTTGTTGTTGGTTTGGTGCTGACACTGAGGCTTGAATTCAGGGCTATGTGTTCTCACTTGACTTTTTTGCTCAATACTGGCATTCTACCACTTGAGACATAACTCCACTTCTGACTTTTTGCAGGTTAATAGAAGATAATTGTCTCATGGACTTTCCTGCCCAGGATGGCTTTAAATCTGGATCCTCAACCCCCTAAGTAGCTGGGATTACAGGTGTGATCCATGAGTACCCACCTGGCTGGGTTTTTTTGTTGTTGTTTATTTGTTTTTGTCAGTTGTAGGGCTTGAACTCAGAGCCAGGGTGTTGTCTTGAGCTCTTTTGCCCAAGGCTAGTGCTCTACCACTTTGAGCCACAGCACCTCTTCTGGTTTGTCTGATGGTTCATTGGAGATAAGAGTCTCAAGGACCTTCCTGTGTGGGTTGGTTTTGAACTGAAATTCTCAGATTGCAGCCTCCTAAGTAGCCAGGATTACAGGCATGAGCCACTAGTGCCCAGCTATTTGTTGTTGTTTTTAACAGGTTTGTGGAGGTACAATGGATATACAAACTACACGTTTAGTGTAGATAAGTGGGTAAGTTTGGTCAAGCACATTCATCAGTGATGTGCATTGCCTTCCAGAAGTTGCCTTATCTCCCTTTGCTTGTATTACTAGCTGTCATAACAAGAGCATTTAACTTGATATCTACCCTCTTAATCTGTGTGTGTGTGTGTGTGTGCTCATCCTGGAGTTAGAAGTCAGGGCCTGAGTGCTGTTCTTGAGTTGGTTTGCTCAAGGCTAGCACTCTACCACTTGAGCCACAGCTCCATTTCCAGCTTTTATTTTCATTTAGAGACCATCCTGGGGCTTGAACTCAGGGATTGAGTGCTGTCCCTGAGATTTTTGTGCTCAAGGCTAGTGCTCTACCACTTGAGCTACAGCTCTATTTCTGATTTCTTTGGTGTTAAATTGGAGAGTTACAGGGACTCTCCTACTGGGGCTGACTTCAAACCTCAATCCTCATATCTCAACTTCCTGAGTAGCTAGAATAATAAGCATGAGTCACAGGCACCTGGCTGTCTTAACACATTCTTAAGTTGCTGATGCCATATTAGTCTCTTTGTTATGCAAATCTCTAAATCCAGTTTTATTCTCTTACCTTATATTGGTGGAGAATATTTTTTTAAACATGAGTTCTTAGTCTGGACAACAGTGGCTCATACCTGTAATTCTAGCTACTCAGGAAACTGAGACCTGAAGATTAAGATTTGAAGTCAGCCCAGCCAGGAAAGTCCACGAAACTCTTATCTCTAATGGACTAGCAAAAAGCTGAAAGTAGAAATTGGTAAAGTACTAGCTTTGAGCAAAAACAAACAACAAAACCTCAGGGACAGTACTCAGGTCCTGAGTTCAAGCCCTAGGACTGATACAAATGTAAACAATAATTGACCCACCTTTCAAAAACCAGGATTCCTTCCAAACCTAATAGAAATCTATACTTTTCTTGAGAAATTGTAAAGTTTGACAATACATAGTTGAAATTACTTCAAGAAAATTACAATCCTAAAGTCTGAGTGGAAGCATCCTTGGTTCCTGACACCCCCTTGTCCTCTTCCACAGAACTCAGCAGGCTTCCTTATCCAGTTGAGTGTCAGTCCCTATGGAAAGTTTGCAAGTGTTATTCCACTGCAGTCTCATGCTCTTGGTACCACTAACAACTTCCTAACAGAAAGCAATAAAGATATCATATGTACTTGTCCATGCTTCCACAAAACAACTTGGAATGACCTACAAAAATATTAGTATTAAGGCTAAGAAATGAATAAGAGGCTGGGTACCAGTGGCTCATGCCTATATAATCCTAGCTACTCAGAAAGCTGGGATCTGAGGGTCATGTTTCAAAGCCAGCCAGGTCAGGAGAGTCCATAAGACTCTTATCTCCAAATAACCATCAAAAAGCCAGAAGTAGAGCTGTAGTTAAGTGGTACCAACCTCTAGCAAAAAAGTTATGGGATAGCTATCAGGCTCTGAGTTCAAACCCCAGTACCAGCACCCAAAAAAAAAAAAAAAAAAAGCATGAAGAGAATGGGCTGTCAACTCTGATATTACATTACTATGATAATTAGAGTAATTACTGAATAAGTACTTGGGTTTAGTAGTCAATTTTGTTGTGAGCTTCTAATTTTGGGAGAGAAAAAGGAAATTCAGTGATTCCCAGATGCGATTCCCCTAAATGAGCAAGCTATAGAATATAGCTATTCTTGACTACAGCCCTGAATGAAATTTCCTATTGAAAAGAATAGGATTTGAGTTTAGGGCCTTCTAGTTGCTAGGAAGGCATTGTGAGCCTTTCTTGAGCAGGCTTGAGCATACCTTCAGCCCTAGTTCTTGTACTAATTTCTTCTTTGGATAGAATCTTGTAGTTTTTGCCCAGGGCAAGCTTTAGATCCACAATTCTCTTACCTCTGCTGGTATTATAAAAGTGTTCTGTCATTACTGACTTGATGAGTTGGGCTCTCACTTTTTGCCCAGGCTGGCTGTAAACTGTGGTTTTCTTTATCTCAACCTCCTAAGAAGCTGTGATTACAGGCATATGCCAACACACCCTGAGATTTTTGATGCACATTTTTCAGTTTTGTAATAAATTCAGAATAGTTATCGCGTAGCTATTCTTGTCCATACAGCCAATGCTGTAAATAACAAGATACTTTTCCACAAGAGGATACGAGATTCAGTCTGCCCTTTTTGTCTTTGTTTGTTTGTCAGTCATTGGGCCTGAACACCATATGATTTCAAGGATCAGAGATGCAGAAATCTAACATTAGTGACTAACATCAACCAATTGCTTTGTGTGGGACTATAGTAGCAAAGCCATTTCTGTCAAGGATCTTTCTATTATTTAGACTACTGTTATGGCTTTAATATAAAATGTCCCCTAAAGTCTCATGAATTGAAGTTTAGCCTCTAGCTGGTGAGGAGCTGGTGAGAAAATTCCTCCTAAAGTTCCCACGTTAGGAGGAAGCAGATTCCTAAGGATGTGCTCTAGAAAGATAGACCTTGCCCGTGGTCCCTACCACTCTGTCTCAACTTCCTGTCCACCATAAAGTGAGCTGCTCCATTCCAACACATGCTTTCTACCTTGATGTTCAACCTTGTCTCAGGCCCACAGCAATGGAGTCAGGTTTTGCAGGTGATTTAAAATGTTTTTCATGTAAGTCAAATTAGAAAGACAAAGCCCAACTCCAGGTCAGCAATGCTGTAGGACTAAGGTGACACAAACAGTTGTCCTTTGAAGGTCTCTGATCCAAGGATCAGAAGAAAGACACTAATTTATGCCCTTCAAGCTACTTGCATTGAGTATTATTCCTCTTCTTTGACTCTAGATAGTAGCTGAACCAGCAGCCTGGTCACAGGTTTTCTGGCAGAAAGCTTGAGAATGAACATTCTATGTTGCTAAGAATGAAGCACAAACAAAAAAAAAAATTGCAGCAATATTTTTCACCTCCAATATTTAATATGAAAGAAATATTAGCATTTATGAGAAAGGAAGATTCTGAATAATCATATTGGCTGTGGATATCATCTGACTAGAGCCTTAAGAATCAGTAGAAAGCCAAGGCAAATGGCTCATGTTTGTAATCCTAGCTACTCAGGAGGCTGTGATCTAAGGATTGCAGTTCAAAACCATCCAGGAAAGTCTATATGACACTTACTTGAATAAACTACAAAAAAGCCAGAAGTGGAGCTATTGCTCAAGTGGTAGATCATGCACCTTGAGCAAAAAGTTCAAGGATAGTGCCTAAGCCCTGAGTTCAAGCCCCAGGATCGGCACAAAATAACAACAAAAAGA